AACCTGCCCCTAGCCAGGTCTGCCATGGCACGATGACAGTTTGGGGGGGCTCTGCTTCCCCAACCCCGCGCGTGGCTCGCCAGGAACGGCTTTTCCGCACGCGATGGAGTGCTTCGGCAGGATGGCTCCCAACGGGCCTCAGGGCTCGACGTCTGGCTTGGTCTTTTCCACCTTGATGAAGAGGTTGAACATTTGTTGGTTTGCTACCAAGATGAACCAGTCCTGTTCAAGCCAAATGTACGTATGTGTGTGTGTGTGGCTTGTGGAGTTTGGCTAATGTCTGGAAGTTAGCATTTTGCTGGATCATTGATCTATGAGAGTGGGGGTGTCCAAAAGTACGGAACTAAAAAACATGCTCGACTAAAAAACGTGCTCTCGTTTTGTTTAGGATTCCCCTTCGAACACTACCCAAAAGGGGACCTTCTGGACATATTCAGTTGGGCTCATTGGCAGCTCCCGACGCCTTGGCTCTGGAGGCCGTCTATGCCATCCCACAAAGAGCTCATGGGGTGCTTCGCGCCTTGCGGACGAAGGTGTTTGGGGGGTGCGGCCTCGGGTCTTTCCCAGTGGATCCCAGTTACCTATAATAGTAGGTCAGCCATTGTCCTTTTGGCTTAGGGTGGTCCCATTGGTTCCTCCAAATCCCGGTTGGAAAACAAGGAATCACTGACCTTGTTTCTTTGGATTCGGCACCAGGATGAACTGGAAGCCTGGGCATTGTGGGATGCTTGGTGTGACATTCCCACAGCCATAGATCTCACTTGCCCAAAGGTCCGAATCGATCGGATTGAACTCCATGTTTACTGAGTTTAGTAGCCACACGGTGAGCCATTTCTTCTGGGTTTTTTTGGGCAACTAAAAAGCAGAAAGTTGAGCATGGCTCCAATTTCAGGATATTCGATGGACAAATGGATGGGTGTTTGGTCAAGCTCAGCAGGGCCACCTTTCCAGTGTCTTCTGGCCGTAGTTCCCAAGATGGATGCAGTGAAGATCGAGCATCGCACATTTCTGACATCATTTACGTGGGGATGGTATGTCCACCGCGCCACCGCAAAGGTGGCAAGCCAATGGGTTTGCGCAAAATGGTGAATCTGGTTTCGCTCTCAAAAGAAGTCGTTGATGGGTAATGGCTTTGCGAATGGACGGCCGCTGCAGCCCTCAGCTCCGGGATGTTTGCTTGAGAACTTGGAATGAAGAACTGCATGATACGCACAGATACTTTAATGCCAAGCCAGTGTTTCTGCAGTCTTGCTTGGAAATTGATTTCCCTTTGTCAGGAATCTTTTGGTGGGTTCCGTGTAAACAAAAACCTGACAGTTGGATTCTACTAAGCGACATGCGATCAGGGAAGGTATGGTTCGGGGCATATTCTAGAAATATCAAAAATCGTTTGGGTGTCCTAATGCAGGTTTCTTTCATGGGGATCCCTTCACTCTAGCTAGTGAATAATTTCGATTTACCCAGATGTTAGCCGGGCTGTGTTCACAAATGTGAGGAAAGGGTCATGACAATGGGCTTACTTATTGCCATTGGGAAATGGGGGGGTACGCCAACTCCGCATGTTGGGAACATTAATGTTACCCTGCCACCAGCTAACATGGAAGCTGGCAGGGAGTCGCTTTGAAAGGAAAACGGTTCAAACCAGGACCCCCGAACGTCAGGTTCCACGTTATTTGGTGGAAGGGAACCGTGGCTCAAATCAGATTGCTGTGACGTCAGCAGCTGGTACCCGAGGCATTGCTCCAAGGAGTGGCCAAGACGCGGAGGTCAGCACCCTGGATTGTGGCATCGATGCCGCGCCTTGAAGCAAATCCAATTGTTGGGCAAGGGGACCCCCTATGATACCAACATGTATCTACATAAATATAAATCTGCACATAACATGCCTACAATTATACATACGTATGTGCAACGGTTTACGCCTGTAATATATACATGTATAGATATACGATTATATATGTGTATATATATATATATATGTACACTAAATGGCGTGCCCCATTTGCAGCAAATTGTTTTTGGCCCCTGTTTGAAACCCTTTCACATGGCGTCCCTAGTTTTGACACACCGCCACCCATTTGATGCTGCCAGCGAAGCCGGATACTACAAACACAAAGGTGCATACGTCGCCAACAAACAACCTGCAAGCTGGCCCTCGAGACACGTCCTGGCATTTCCAGCGAGCCTTGAACGGCCCCCTCTCGATTCCCATTTGCTCTTTAGAACAGCCGGGGGTTGCAAATCCCAACCACCGATGCACACCAGCAACTAGGGGATTCCTTTGGGGCGACGTCCTCTCGCAGGAAAGGTGCCCTCTGTTGTTGGACCGGTCAATTGCAGTGGGACGTGCTTGGGCTGGCGGGCTTGAGATCACATGGATGCATTTGATGGGTTGACTTGACTGGGCATTGCGTCAGAGAGAACCATGGTGAAACAAGGCGCCCTTGTGTTTTTCCGCTTGTCTGGTCGTTTGTGGCTTTATGTTATCACTTGTTCAAGATCAGGCGCCTGCCCTTGGCGATCATATTTCCCTTCACCATCTCCCAACTTGAAAGGTACACGGGGCTTGTCCGCGCGCATCACTGGGGACGTTCCATAACATATCGATCAGGTTGATCGATGTGTCAGACTTCGGGGACATGCTTTGGTCCCACCTTGCTTTGGGCGCGCTGCGGAGCCCTCAAAGGTCAGCAAGAAGCCTCAGTTGTTGCCACCCTTTTCCCTTCTTGGTTTGGTGGCTTCCAAACTCAAAATGGTCAACCCCCAACACGGGTCCCCCTGTTTTTTGCCCCGGTCGCGTGGGGCATCAGCATAGTTCGCCCAGGAAATGCGCGACAAGTTTGAGGGAGGAGTGCTTGGGAGCGACGGCTGCATCTACTGCATCCCGTTGCGCTCTGACTGCCAAGGCTATTGGCAGGTGTGCAAGGTTCTCTTATATATACAGACTACAGCGAGCAATCGGCCAGCAATGAAACAGGTGGACGTGGTGGACGGTTGCTTGGGGCATACATGGTGGGTAGTCAAAAGGGTGAGAATTGTTGTGTCTTCTAGGCATGCGGTTGCTAGCTATAGTTGTCGCAATCCTGTCAGTGTGTTCAGCATCGCGTGATCTGAAAACTCCAGGCTGTGACAGAGCATTCAGCAGCTGCAAGACCTGCTAGCAGTGAAACAAGCTTTCAAGCATATGGCGAGCGTATGCGGCCTCTCCGAAATTGCAGTTAACATTGGCTCGCCATTGACGAGTTTGTGGCTCTTTCACCTTGCTGGGTTTCAGGTGAAACCCTGGTATAGCTCCAGTGATGTGATGTCTTGCCATACTTGAAACTTGTTGATCCTTCGGCGAAACTCCGAGGTAGTCAACCCGCCAACAAGCTCAAAAAAGGCTCTTGAATTGCGGCAGCAATGGTGGCCGCCTAGAAGAGGCTGACTTGATGCAGGAAAGCAAGCTGAATGCTGCACGATCCAGTAGCTCCATAAGTTGATATTCTATGCAAAAGCGAGGCCTAACTCAACATAAATGCGCTCCAAACCTACTCCAGCTTGTCCAGATGCCTGAAACGCTGGGATGCTTGCAGCCGGTCCCAGTTGTCTTGGCGCGGGTTGCCTCTGCCCAAGGCGCGCCAAAGACGTGGTGAAGATCGTGCCAGCTGATCCGACTGCGTGAGATTGGCCGGCGGATTCGCGCCTGCCGCAGCAACGTAGGGCGCGAGTGAGCCACAGGGATCATCAGGCATTAGCTTTGGTGCATTGCTCCAAGGAAACATCAATGATGAATAATGTCCACCTCTGATTAATAAAACGGGGACATTACGCGCTGTTACAGAGAGAGAGAGAGATGCATCAGTCATATTCCGCTTGTTTGATGTTCTGTCCAGCGTGAGGCTTGTGACTTGCTTGCACTGGTCGAACACAAAAGGAGGTCTGCGGAGAACTGCAAAGCCGGAGCCTGGCCAGGCAACGCCAGCTTGGCATATCAACTGGCAGCCACCCTTGGTTTTGAAAGCCACTTCCTGGTTAGTCCATATGTTTGACAGCAGCGGCCCAGAAGATTCGCAACACGGGTCAGGCTTAGGCGCCTTGCAGTCACTCGCCTAAACTCTGGGATTTGCTCACGAGAGGCCAAGGTGCTGATTTCATCGCCGCGCTTCCGGTCAGACGGCGGTGAGTGCCTATCTAGTAGACCTCTTCGATCGTCGGCCTTGGAAAAGCGCAGTGTAAGCGCGCAGGGTGCTTGGCCAATATGTGCCAATAAGGAATGCAGGAAGAGTCATGCGTTTGAACCTGAAACATGTCAATGAATGCGAACTATGGCCGCAAGTCCTGCTGTTTGCATGTGTATTTTCTGTAGATTAGCTCGATGTTTTGCCCTCTTAGAAAGTCTGGGCATGACCGCTTTGACAGGTTTGCTGGGAGGCAAGCCACTTCATGCTTACCACACAAGGGGTTCCTGAATCCTTGATGATTGAATGAACTCTACTTCCCTTCATCAAGCACAGTACGGCGCTAGTACGACCCCCATGCGGTTGGCAACATGAGACCTTAGGTGCATGTTTTGATCCACTACAGGATTACCTGGCAACAAGTGTCAATCCTTCACAGACTGTTGAACATGACTTGGCTTTGAGCTTGTTGTGTGCTGCAGCGTGGGGTGCTGCTCCTGTCAGCGTCGTGGCGTTCTTGTTGCTAAAGTTGGCTCATGTACCAGTATGTGTGAGGATCACAATGTGTGCAGCAGTCATCAGCGCTGCTTCATTTGCAAGCGTCGTAGCTGCTCAGAGATTTGACTCCTCGCGGCCATCAAGAGCCGCCCCCTTGGTTGGAAGATCATGCTAGCAGTGGCATGCATCAACTTCAACCATCCTTCAGTAGTGGTTGGTTGGGAACACTTTCTAAAATGGCTAAAGGTCGGAAATCCCAATGTAGATCATGTCCTTCCCAAGTCAAATTCACACACAGCAGAACCCAAAGGTCGCTCATTTCGGTCGAGCTCACGCAGTGAGGCAGAGCTCACAAGCAGCGGTGTCCATCGCTGTGGGCTGCACGCCTCAGGAGTGTGTGCTAGCCTCAGACGAGAAGAGCAGGCACGTTTTAAGGTGCAAACTGCCCAGACGCCTTGGATGTTTGACTTCCCCCTCGTCCCAATTCAAAATTAGAGAGAGAACAGTCAAAAGGCGTATAGGTCCAGGCAGGAGGGATCGGTGAATTAAGATTGTCTTGCTGTTGGGGGCTTGTGAGGCTCGCTGGATCAGCAAGCCCTGCTAGGCCTACTGGTTCATGGCCATCAGCAGTTGAGAGTTGCCCGGTATCTTCTATGCGCTCTTTTGGCGTGTGTCAAGGCACGCACCAAAACGAGGCAGCCCGAAGCAAACCAACGTGGACGCCTTGGCCCGTGCAAGGCAGAGGCGCAGCAGATCCTGGGCCAAGCCTCGGAAACCCTGGCCTAGCGCTGAGAGCTGGACGACGTGCGGCAAAAGACAACAAGTCTCGCAGTTTGGTGATCAAACAACTAATAAACTAAGAATGTGGAGTAAGAAAGAGTAAAGATCTAAAGACATTAGAGAGCGCGAAACACCATGTTTTGCTCGACCCAGCCATTCACAGGATCATGTTGGTTGATCCATGTGAAGTACGATGAAGCTTCTTCAGCATCCGTGCGTCCATGCGAGGAGCTGCAAATCTACAGGACGTGGCTCGGTATCAGTGCCGCCACCTTTTGTACATGCATGTGCACTTTGTGTTTCGCGCATTTAAGGCCTTAGGACGGGTGCAGATTGACACGCATTTGGCAGCAGCGCATTTCCTCATGGGAGGGATAATGCTCTTGGGCCTCGACATCACTGCATCCCATGCTTGCCATCCAAGGGCCAAGAGGTGATCAACCGTCGTGAGTATTGTATTGCTTGAACTGGCTATATGGTGATACGGTGTTGTGTTTGTCATGTGGCAAGACGGGTTCAGCAGGGCTCTCTACAGGACTTTTGGTGTTTTGAGAAATTTCCTTTGTTGATGTTTGCTCATGTTGAGCAGCTGTGGCTGCCCTCCCATCACTCGATGTCAAAGGGGCGGGTAGTGTGTGTGCGACATAGAAACTGCTTGCCTGAGTCACTGAGGCTGGGCGAATCGACTGCTTCCTCGCATGGTGCGACCGTGTGGAACTAGCAATGAGCCAGCCTGCGGTAGTTTTGTATGCGGTTCATTTCGCCTTTGCAGGAGCCTCGTGCTGTAAATGTTGTTTCGAGGTTACAGCAAGATGGTTGAACAAAAAGAAGAAGGGCATGGGTCATCCATCTACTCAAAGTACTCACTGCACTTGCGGCTCACACCCTGATGAACCCCGGGCATTGGGGAGGGAACATCGGACGTTTGCGAGCTGCCCTTTGTGGGAGAAGTCACACACTGCGCAACTTGCAACCCGTCGCAGCCATCGGCTCCCGGTTGCGTCTCCCGAGTCTTTGAGTCTCAAGCCATGGGAAAGGTCCACGGAAGTTTGGCACGAGCCGGAAAGGTGAAGAACCAGACCCCGAAGGCGTTTTGAAAGAAATTCGCGAACAGGGAACACAGGGAAGCAGAGCGATGACTCTTAGCTGTGACTCTTTGTTTTTGAAGGGTGGCTGGTTGTTAAGAAGTTGGGTGAGGGTGGAAACATTGCCGAGCAAACAAAACAAGCAGCATTCGAAGGTGACTTTTTGGTGCGAACCCCATGAGGGATCTACGCTGTACTTTGTACTTGGCATGAGTTGGTCCGCTCCGTGGGAATATTTGGGCCGATCCAAGGAGAAGGGCCTGTGATTGCCAGGTCATGTCGAAATCGGTCAGGGAACCTTATGTGACGAGCCGGGAAGGCCGTGGGCCATTACTTTCCCTTGGTCTTTGTGGGTGAATCTCAAGCACTGATCACAGGTCGCAAAGGCTGAGAAGAAGAAGAAGCTCACCGGCCGCGCGAAGAAGCGCTTCGTGTACAACCGACGTTTTGTGAGCGCGGCCTGGCCGGAGGGGGGGGTTAAAGGGCGAGGAGGAAGAAGGTGCCATTGTGTCAGGGGCCCTCGCCAGTGCGCACTGCCGTTTGAGCTGCAGCCGGGGTTGCCATTGGCAGAGGCTGTTGGCAACGTGGTGACGAGTTGGTCAGCACACCTTAAGGGGCATGTGCAACTTGTGCATTGCACTAAGGGTTATAGCTAGGATAACTTGGCTTATACAAATGGTTGCAGTTTATGGCTTCCATATACTTATATACTAGTAGGGCCCCCCTACCAGAATTGTTCCCAGAACAGGAACAGTTATCACCCTTTCTATCTAAGATTGTAAGAACTCTTTCGGGATTCTGGGGAGCAGGCATTTCCCCTACGGGCTTTGGATCATGTAGATGGGGGGGGGGCGGAATCTCCTTGGATCTCCTTCTGTATTCCGTTAGATTCGGATCCGGGGATTGGATGCGAGTGGCGTCTAGGTTGTAGTTCAAGACCTGCACATATTGCCACTGGGACACTGAAGGAAGTGCTCCTTCACAATGCCTCGTTCATGTTTAGCCCCGTCTAGCGACTGTATAAGCTGGAGCTATCATTATTTAAGGCCCTTCTTATGACAAGGGGTCTTTGCCTCGGGCAGGCAATACCGTTTTGCTTGTCCTGGGCACAGAGGTACATGCTAAAACAATGCGATTCCTTTTTCACTTCGATTGCAATTTGCCAATAGGGTCACTGCTTTTGGATACTTTTGGCAATGCAGCCCATGCTTACCTAGATCCGCTCTTTTTCTCGATCTTCAGATTCCGCCTCACTCAAATTCCTAGCTTGCTTTGAATTTGGTGCCCCTGCTCGGGAGAGCTTGCGAGAACAAACTTGAGCACAGGTTAGGTCAAATTTGAAAGCTTCTTGTTTGGGCTTTCTTGAAATCCAACCAAGCCCACATAGCAGCTGCATCGTTTGAAAACCAATGGTCAAACATATTCCGATGGCAAGGGTGCCCTAAGCTGCGCGTGCAGCTAGGTGGTCAAGACCGGGCCCAAGCGCGGGCCCAACTCCAACGCGGGCAAGTGAGCGGGTCGCATCACGAAACGCGACGAGGAGACGAGAGCAAAAGGACGCAGCCGGCGGAGATTTACAGAGGCATGTGACCATTTGAAGAGAGGGATGACTTGCCAAAATCTGGCCATGAATTTGAATGGGGAAGCACTTGAAACGTGGTGGACCACCGAAATGTCCCTCTTTTAAGATATGCACATGTGAGATGGAAATCGCGAGGAAGACCGACAGTTTCACCGAAACCAGGTACCGCTGCAGCGGCGACAGTGAAGCCCCTAAGATCTGCGATGGATTGGGCGTTCCCAGCTGGCCGGAAACCCAGCTGGAGGTTTGGCCGTGTCTTAAAGTTATTTTTTTATCGGAAGGCACCGAGAACTTTTGCTTCTCCCCCAACAGCTGCAAGCTTTTCGGGGTGGATCGGCTGTGAGAGGCGGTTCAGAGGGTGCCTGGGGCTTGGGGTGCGGTTCCAAGGAAGGTTCCTGGGGCGGTTCCGCGTGCGGGGCACCTTCTCTTTCCACGCCAGTATCTTTGTTTTTCTTAGTGTCCGGCGCTTGCGTCAAACACGCCTCATGTTGTTGGGGGACGCCTCATGTTGTTGGGGGATGTCACCTGAGCTCAACACATGTTTCACTCCATCAGCAATGGCCACCATGAGAAACACGAGAAAAGAAGGCCTGGGCATTTTGGGATGACTGCTCACTCTTACGCCCGCGAGCGAGCGAGCGAGCGACCAATCGCTGTCAAAGAAACGGAGCATGTTGCAGACGGGATTCTTGGCGGAGCCCGGTTTCCTTTTGGCCCATTGAGGAACAGTTTCTCGATGACGGGCAGCTTGGAAAGACTGCTTTGCACCGTACTTAATAACCGCTCTTACCTAGCAACTGATACCTTGCAATACAGGGAGGGTTTATCACGCTTCGGATATCCACTTAGTGCAGGTTTCAACCAGTCTGTTTTTGAAAACACCCGATGCAACCTAGATCCAGTTGTTCGTTCGGCGCAAAGGATGTTGGCCGAAATTTAGCAAGCACTCTTGGTTTTGAATGGATAGCTGCATTCAACGCAGTAAGTCGGATGCACACCAAGGTGTGACATACAGGCTCCAGATTGGCCATTGCTGGCGGCGCAGCTCTCAGCTTTATGGTTCTACGAGTTCTTATTGTAGGCTGGCTTTGAAAGAGAAACAGTCCCTGTTTGCACTAGCAACGCTTGAACCGTAAGTTGGCTGCCTGGTGAATTCCCAAAAGCTAGCCCAACCAAGCAATGGCGTGCTGCCAATTCATTCACATTTCTCTTCCTTTTTAGTCGGCGTCCTGCCGCATACCAGCATGCGATCAGCACACAAGACCATGGATCTTTGTTTCGGAAGTTGAAGTCGGCGTTCATTCTGTCAACCTCAAACTATCCAGCTGGATTAGAGGCAGTTTTCCCCAACAGTCGAGGATTCCCTCACGCTCTCCTGTGAATCAACCGGTCGATTCCTGGGTTTCCAGAACCATTGCTTGTGCTACTGTTGCTGTCAAGTCGGCAGCCTTCAATGCCAGAGATGTCAGTCCGCCGGAAATTTCCAGACTGCTCAGTGACAAAGCTTTCTCATCCCGACAATATTTCAGAGGTGGGCACACTTCCGTATGGTGGGGGTGAGCGCAGGAGCCTATCCAAGATGAAGGTTGATTGCCTTCGCTCTGGGCCCGTCAAATATGTGTGCCTTATAGTTGGCTTCTCCACCATTTGAGGCAAGACTATCTCTGAAGTTTGCTACGCCGCTTCACGTTTAACTACTTGGTCAATAGAGGCCATATGGCTTTTTGCTAAATCGAGCTGCGTGGAAACATAACATGTGCCATGCCGGTCTTATGCGTTTGGCGCCTCGGATGGGAAGACGCTTTGGCGCCCTTCAAAAGGAGCTGGAATAATTGTGTTCAATTGGCATTGCATGAGGCCACGTGCCCTCTGGTGACAGCGCAAGTCAACCTTGCTTCTCATTGGTTGAAGGTGGCTGGACAAATGGATTATTCATCCATTGGCAACCGCACCCAAGGATTTTCAACCCAGTGGTTTCAGCCATGCCTCGGAATGGAAATGAATGGAAGACGTAAAGTCTTGTGCTGTTAGAGAGGAGGGTAGCACCTCGGCCATGGCTAAGGCTTGTTGAACCTCGACAGCAAACATTTGCAGCTCCGAAACTCTTTCTCCGACTCCCTCCAAACCACCGGGCCCCAATCAGAGGGAAGCTGAGGCGATGGCACCAGCTCTGGTTGGGGGCTGAGAGCGGGAAGTTGTCCTCTTTTCACGGATTCCGCGCCACTTTCTGTTGCTTGGTTAGTGGGTTAGTGCAGATTGGACGCTCTGAAAAAGAAGCTTTGTTAGCTGGGGGTGCACCTCCTGACATCCTGTATGCGAGGTTGATGTTCATCAAGGGCTCCTGTTTCTGATGAACGACACATCCTTCCGAGAACCGTTTTCTCAGCATGCTCAATCCAGATGAAATCTTGCCGCGGCGTATGTCCCTCGATCAAGCCGCAGAGAGCCTCTTGGATATTCGAATGGATTACCTACAAAGTGTTCAATCAATTTGTTTGCTGTCTGAACTGGTGTGCCTATTACTGTCCAATTGCTTCGTTGTTGTACCAAAACAAAAACTGTTGCAGGGTTGTTGCCCAGTCGCGGAGATCGTTTTCCACGGGGCTTCCATTGTTCATTTGAATGTTCATTTCTTCTGGCGGATTCGGGATGGCGTGTAGGCAGATAGGCATTGGTTGCATGGTTCATCAGCGAAGTGTCACTAGGCAAAGTCCAGGCAGAGAGACTGCATGAATGCTTGTGTTTGCTTGCTGCACCGGGTGCTATGAGAAGCTTGCCTGAAGATGGCTCGCCTTCCAGTGGCACCACTTTCATGCGATAGGTCTGTTGCTCCAGAGGAACAATCAACAATCACAGGCAGGCACTAGGTGAAATTGGCTATGAGTTTTGGTGGGAACCCACTTCAAAGTGGCTGGTGGACACAAATCCCCACCTGAACGATGTGCGCCAAAGAGTCCCCAATTAAAAATCATATTCAAAGATGTACTTGGTGTCGGTTTCGGTTGTGCAAAGGCAAGTGGCGTCCACGCCGATGTCCAAAGTGATTTCTCCGTGAAGATGATCAACCCCAAGCCGGAGAATTGGATTCAATACTATGTCGAGGTCATGGGATCCTTGAAGCACACCTGGACTTGGCAGTTTGCAGCAGCTAAGGACGCCGTAGAGGGCGAGGCAGCTGAGAAGCTGGTGGTTGGTGAGCCATTTGAGCTCAGGCGGGCCGCGGGCCATGGGTCACTCCAGCACCGCAGCTTGTGAGCTATATATGGAATTATAGGGATGTTGACATTGTGACTGTTTGTTTACAACACATGCTAGTGCTGACTTGTCTTTGACGCTTCGCTAATGTGTGTTTGTTCTCTTTTTTGTTATCATCATCCCTAAGTCGCCCATCAAGTGCTTCATGCAATGCACCTAAACTTCAACATTCCAGGACACACGCAGCATGAAGGGGGTAGAGTTGACATTTCCCTGGTCGCTCAGCAAAATCTGATTCGCTTCCTATGTGACATGTTGATTCATTGCATGGGGCCACCAAATGCCTGCCAAACATGCGTAATGCTGAGGGCCCAGTTTGCAATCCTTGCTGCGCACAGGCAACATCAGGCAAAGAGCTTTTTGGGCGAAGCGTGAGGAAACAAAAGCCATCGCATTTGCTGATACTGTATGTTCATCGATTTTGGCGCACAGGGGGTACCTTCCACGACAAGACTTCAATAACAGCGACAAAAACAAAAATAACAACGATAAATAGTAAGGAGCTTTGTGAGGAGCTGTAAAAGGAGCTTTATAAGGAGCTTGTAACGAGCTGAGCCCCAGAAAGCTCAGGAGCTTTTAAGGAGCTTTGTGAGGAGCTTTATAAGGAACTTGTAAGGAGCTAATGGACGGCTGTTCCAAAGAACGTGTGTTTTGCAAAAAGCTCAAAACACCGTTCAGGAGCTTTATAAGGAGCTTTGTGAGGAGCTCTTTCAGGAGCTGCATTTGGAGCTTTACAAGAAGCTCAGGAGCTTTTTAAAAACCTTTGCGAAGAGCTTTGTAAATGGCGGCTGTTCCAAAGAACGTGGGTTTTGAGATTTTTAGACCCCAAAAAGTGCAAAACACACGTTAATTGAAACAGGGCACCAGAAAGTTCGGGAGCTTTATAAGGAGCCCAGAAAGCTCAGGAGCTCTTAAGGAGCTTTGTGAAGAGCTTTATACGGAGCTTGAAAGGAGCTAATGGACGGCTGTTCAAAAGAACGTGTGTTTTGCACTTAAGCTCCTGAACTTCCTGATAAATCTCCTCACAAAGCTCCTTATAAAGCTCCTGAACTTTCTGGTGTGTTTCAAAGACGTGTGTTTTGGGCTTTTTGCTCCCAAAACACACGTTCTTTGAAACAGGGCCCCAGAAAGTTCAGGAGCTTTATAAGGAGCTTTGCGAGGAGCTTCATCAGGAAGTTTAGGAGCTTTATAAGGAGCTTTGTGAGGAGCTTTGTGGGGAGCTCTTTCAGGAGCTTTCTTTGGAGCTTTATAAGGAGCCCAGAAAGCTCAGGAGCTTTTAAAAAAACTTTGTGAAGAGCTTTATCAGGAGCTTGTAAGGAGCTAATGGACAGCTGTTCCAAAGAACGTGTGTTTTGAGCTTTTTCGAACACACACGTTTTTTGAAACAGGGCCCCAGAAAGTTCAGGAGCTTTGTGAGGAGCTTTATAAGGAGCTTGTAAGAAGCTAATGGATGTCCAAAGAACGTGTGTTTTGCACTTTTTAGGGTCTAAAAAGCTCACTCAATTCTTTGAAACAGTTCTCCAGCAACTCAGGAGCTTTTAAGGGGAGCTTTATAAGGAGCTTGTAAGGAGCTAATGGACGGCTGTTCCAAAGAACGTGTGTTTTGCATTTTTGGGTCTTTGAAGCAGGGCGGAGCCAAAAAAGCTCAGAAGCTTTTAAGGAGCTTTGTGAAGAGCTTTGCAAGGAGCTTGAAAGGAGCTAATGGACGGCTGTTCAAAAGAACGTGTGTTTTGCACTTTTTGAGTTTAAAAACTCAAAACACACGTTCCTCGAAACAGGTCCCCCAGAAAGTTTAGGAGCTTTATAAGGAGCTTTGCAGGGAGCTGCATAAGGAGCTTTATAAGGAGCTTGTAACGAGCTGATTTAAGGAGCTTTGTGAGGAGCTTTACGGAGCTTGCAAGGAGCTAGTGGACGGCTGTTCCAAAGAACGTGTGTTTTGCACAAAGCTCACAACACACGTTCAGGAGCTTTATAAGGAGCTTTGTGAGGAGCTCTTTCAGGAGCTGCATTTGAAGAGCTTTTTAAAATCCTTTGTGAAGAGGTTTTTAAGGAGCTTGTAAGGAGCTAATGGACGGCTGTTCCAAAGAACGTGTGATAGAACAATTCAATTCGCAATTTAAAAGGGCTATGCGGGCAAGCGGCCCGCTAGGCACACATCGGGCTGTCACAACAGCCCTAGAAAATGCAGGTCAGCACCGCTATGCTCCGGGGAGGAGTGTGTGAGAAAGCTGGGCAGCCTTATGGCGCCTCTGAGCCGCATCTCGATGGACAGGCCCAAAGGGCCAGATGGATGGATGCTCACACAAGGCGCATGTCTGCGCAGCCCGTTCGGAAAGATCAAGTTCTACGCTCCTACACCGGCCACCGTCAGACGGCTCAAGATTCGAAATTGTGGTTTTAACATCCGCTTTGTCTGCATGGCGCAGGCGAGGCCAAAGAAGGTGCCACCTGGTGCAAGGATGGTGAAGCAGCTTTAGACCAGCCACGCAGGGACACTGAAGCAGCAGCTGACAGAGGCCCGCGTTTTGAAGGCTGCAGAAGAAGACTCGGAGGCTCCTCTGCCATTTGACTCCACAGGTTACAAACACCTATGGGACGAGTACTGTCTGCAGTGGCAGCCCCTTTCATGCTCATATTTGACATGTTCTTGCTGGCAGTGGCGCTGGGCCATTGCTGTCATGCCTATGGCGTCGAGGTGTTCTGGAAAAAGCGGGCGCTAGACCAGCCACTGCAGCTGCTGCAAGAGATCGATGACGAATGCCAAGCCAGCCACCCGAGGAAGAAGCCCAGGGTGTGAAAGAAGCAACGTGCGTTTTTTTCTGATATTTTGACATATGTGGCTGGGCCGGCTGTGTTTTTTGGCCTGCAGGCTGCTCCTGTGGATGCAGACGAGGAGGACGACCCTTTCCACGATAAAGGGGTGGAGGCCAAGAAAGCAGCTCGTGCCAGCTGTTCTGTTACCCTTTCGGATCGGCCTCCTGGCAGGCTGTGTTCGTCCCCAAGCAAGCAAAGCTTGTGGACCTCCAAGGGCGCATGTGATCTGAGAGCAGCCCAGATTGTGTGATGACCAAACAATGGACTTGACTACGAGCCCAGCTGGTAAGCAAGCGCGCGAGGCTTGCTTCATGACATGAATGATCTCGAAGCACATGCGTTGTCAGGCGGACTCACCGCTTCCCCCAACCACGCCTGTGTCGTCCCCAGATGGAAAGGAGCGCCGTGTCAAGCGAGCCGCAAGCTTGACCAAAGACAAGTTCATTCCTTGTCATCCTTGGCTGACCTAGCAGTTGCCCCAAATCAATCTCCATTCGTTTGACCCTTTTCAATCTGCTATGCACACGCCAAGGTCTTAATATGGGGAGCCCCCTGTTGGGGTAGCTTTAAGCCACAGCAATCCTCAACACATCAGAAGCCAAAGTATAGACCTGCGTCAAATGTGTGCTTTAAGTGACTGAGCAGGAGCAAGTGCAACGGCAAGAGGACGCCACTCTGGTGGCGGAGAAGAAGGAGAGCGCGGTTTTGTTTTTGTTTGTTGCTGCAAAAAAATCCGGCGAAGGATCTGGGCCTTGTGACCAGCGGCAGCATGCAGGATGGGATGCAAGCACTAACAAGTACCTCACAAAGCTCCTTACAAAGCTCGGTCTTCCTGGTCCATTAGCTCCTTGCAAGCTCCTTATGAAGCTCCTCACAAAGCTCCTTAAAGAAACATTAACAAAAACATCTCCGGGATGCAAACCCGCGCTTTCGCGGCGTTGAAACAAGGTGCTGCCAGCTAGGCTACACACTCTTTGATGAAAAGGCGCCATGGGAAAAAACCCTTCTTGATTTCCAGCCTTTTTCCACTCACCGACGCACGAAGCTCTTTGCCTTCCCTTTTCCTGTTCCTTCCTTCTTCCTTTCTTCCAACAAGGGGCGGTTGCTTCAAAGAACGTGTGCATTTTTAAGCCCCATTGGAACAGCCGTCCATCAGCTCCAAGCTCCTTACAAAGCTCTCCATATAAAGCCCTTGAACTTCCTGATAAAGCTCCTCACAAAGCTCCTTGTAAGCTCCTGAACTTTCTGGGCCCTGTTTCAAAGAACGTGTGTTTTGAGCCTTTTGGCCCCCAAAAAGCTCAAAACACACGTTCTTTGAAACAGGGCCCCAGAAAGTTCAGAGCTAATGGACGGCTGTTCCAAAGAACGTGTGTTTTGCATTTGTTGGGTCCCAAAAGTGCAAAACACACGTTCTTTGAATCAACCGTCCATTGTTGGAAGAAGGGAAGAAGGAAGAAGGAAGAAGGAAGAAGGAAGAAGGAAGAAGGAAGAAGGAAGAAGGAAGAAGGAAGGAAACAGGAGAAGGAGGGAGCCCTGTTTCAAAGAGGCAAGGATCCGCTTCTTGAGCTTATCGTGATTAAACAATTTTCGTAGTGAGAAAATAATTCCGAGTCGTGGTAGGAGCAATTTCTGTCGTGGTTGGAAAGCTGTTGTGAAGCGTGGTTGGTGCACCCCCTCGGCCCTCGATTTTGGCGCATAGTTGTGGTGTATTGTCCATATGGCGCCCGGCAAGGAAGCATGGCATATGACGGATGAGTGAAGGGCAGGACAGGCTTCTTTAGATGAACTTTGCGTTGGTTGAGTGCATAACTCGGAACCTCTGGCACTTCAACGGCATTTTCGAGGCAGAGGTTGAACTGGCAAATTCCCACTGAGGGGCAACAACAGTGTTTGTGTGTGGGTTTCACAAATATATACACATATGTTTCTAGCCTTTGGCGCGTCAAAATGTAAGAACAATGCCCGGTGCAGTCGGCTTTGCGCACGCCAACGTAAGGACAGTCCATGCCGAAGATTTTGGCACGGCGAAGCTTTGCGCTCGTGGAAGAGAACTGCCCCCCCCCCCCCCCCCGCCACAAGTTGCAGTGTACGCCCCACAGCAGCTTGCAGTCAAAGACATGAGTAAGCCCGTCCAGTGGCATGA